GGGGGTGGGAGATATTCAAGTTTAGAAATGTCCTCTACAGAGGACAAAAATGAACTACTGGTAGTCACGAGGATATGTATGTAAATAGTCATGATTATGCAGAGAGGAAGGGTAAGTTTGAAATTTTCAACTTCTGTCATGAAAATATACATGGGCAGAGGTGGGTACCATTGTGTCAATGTATTTTTGTTTTCGAAGTGAAAACTGAATGACAAAACAGGCTCAATAAAAGGAAAAAAATAACATTCATACCATGAAGTATGTCTAAAAACCAGAAGTCTCGCTTTAACCTAAACTTTAATTGTGTGTTTGTGTCCAGTGCATTTTTGGTTGAAACTAGCTGGTTCTTCATTCACTGATGCAATTAGGTTGGTAGAGTATGCACAATTGCACTCAAATAAGAGCAGAGCGACTTTAAAACCGCATTGCATAAATGGAACTGAGTAAATGTAAAGAGGTACTATGAACTACAAACACAACTGAAAAGGAAAAATTGTAAAAACTACGATATATGCTCTGTCGTCACCATCTAGAAACACAGATACACTTGGCGACATCACACACATGTAGCCTCAAAATCAAAGTGGGTCCATGGGGATGCTTATTTTGAGAAAAACCTTCCCAATACACAGAAAGAGAGAGAGACTGGAAGAGCACCCACATGGAGTGTTATGGACGGGCCCACTGTGTGAATGAGAGAGTGAAGGATTGCACACAAGAAAGCCAAACTTCCCTAGAAACTGCGTGACTCTCTGTTGTTAGCAGACCTGGATACCGTAGCCACCACACCGGGCTGGAAGACGCCGTCTCCTGTGAGGGAATGTGAGAAGACGTGGGGACAGATGAGACATCTGAGCATAGGAAATCCTCTCTAATCTGTGACATCATTGCAGTCATGTACGTAAAACACAACAGGTCAGCGGGGAAAAGCCCTGGCAAGTGTATTACTTTATGATCCAAGGAAGTTTTGACTGAGTGAACCTCCAGTGAGTGCGTGAGAGAGAGACTGAGAAGAACAACTGAGTGACCTTAAAAGGCTGCGTGGTCGTGCTGGTGCCTGAGTGTGGACATGAAAAGGGGCCTCGAGAGTTATCTCTCAGAGGTGCTGCTGTATTTATAGATCATCTCAAAAAAAAAATAAAAAGAAAGAAAAAAAAAGAAAGACCCTGCCCCCATGCTGCACTCCCGGTCTACCCCTCCCTCATTTCCAATTAGCCTGTGATGGGTCGGCTAACGTAATCAGGAGTAACTACAGCGCGCCCGGAGCTTCCTCCCTCAGTCTACCCCAGACTCAGCACAGACACACACTCCTCACACAGGAAGGTAAGAGCCAAACTCAGCTCCTCTACTCATCCATCCACTCACCTGTCCATCCTTCTCTTCTTCTTCACTGGTCTTCATTCGCCATGTCCTCCTCTCTGAGGCCGTGCTGCTCGTCGGCATCCTCATGTGTGTGCCTCCCTTTTCCCACCCATCCATGTGCTCCTGTTTTCCAGCTGCACAAGATCCCTAACTCTTTACCTCGTCTTCATCCCTCCCTCCACTGTCCTCTCCATATTTCTCCAAATAAACTCTTTGAAAATCTGCTAATTGCATTTTATAGAGCTAGTTTAGGCCTTTTCCTCCTGTCTCCTCATCCAAGAGTTTCTCTTGGATGATCAGCATCACAGCATCCTTTACAGGGACATCTGATGTTTGGCTTCAGCATTAAAGCTAGTGAGTATCGTGCAGTTAACATGTACTTGTTTAGTTGAGTTGCATTATGGGTTGAGCATAAATTTAAAGTCAACCCGTACAAATTAAGGCCTAAGTTGTTTTAACTCCATTATCCACTTTAAAGGCTGTAATTTATGCGCTGATGTCAGACTGTGTTTAATTGAAAAGGAATGCCCTCGTGATTTGTTGCTTTGGAAAAGCACCTGATCCCGGAAAATAGTTGAAGCATCTCAATCAGAGTATGTACAAGTCGTTGCAATATTTAACGCAACTTTAAAACCAACTATCAACATCAATAAAACATCTGGAAGCTTGAAGAGAAAAAAAACGCAGCAAATGACCTTTTTTTTATTTCATTTCTTTCTCTGGGAAATTGTAAATTTTATTTCAGATATAAAGACGTTTTTAAAAGAGGTCACCTTTTCTTTAGAGGCAAAAGCTCACTGGAGGTTAAATTCCTTGCAGTCGGTCTCCCAGATGGATGGGCATCAAAGCGGACCCCAGAACTTGACAAAACAGCTGCATGGCACGTCCAAATAGCTGCAGGTCTTATTTGTGGCCGTTCAGATTATCTTTCTGTATTTTTAGGAGTCAGATAAATCCTTATATAAGCTAGGTGAGTCATGGTGGGAGCAGCAGACAATGAGGGAATGTGGGAGGGGTCGACTGCGTTTGTAACGGAGAGGCACGGACTGGATTAAAAGTCTTGGTTTTGTCCACTCAAAAAATGGTATTGCCTCCTCAGTTCCAAGAGGATACCCCCCTGCCCCTAGTCGGTCACAGGTCTCATTTTAAAACTATGAGCCAGACATGAAGAACAGACAAAACCAACTGGACTTGTAAGAAAAATATGTAGTATCGCAGTACTAGGTAGACCCCGAGCAGCTGCTCATTTTTTAATAGTCATTACTACGAGTGCCGCTCACAATGACCAGGGAAACAGGGATCTGAGCCTGACAGTTGGAAGTGAGGCCCTGGATGGGTCAGTACACACTTGCATAGTGGGCGTTGGTATGCAGGGAGGGCAAGTGTTGACTGTCTCTAAGCAGGGCTGATGGGAGTTATTTATATCTCCACAACCGGCCACTCTCTGCTCCTGATGCACAGAACAAAGTGAAATCTGGTAGGAAAGATTAGAGAGAAAACTGTTTTCCTTTTTTTTTTTTTTCTTTGGAAAGGTCTTACACACAAATAAAGCCTGCAGTCTTTCGATTCCCAGGTGAGTGACTCTTGGTCAAAATGACCGAGCGCTACGACTGCCACTACTGCAAGGAGTCCCTGTTTGGGAAAAAGTACGTTCTTCGAGAGGACAATCCCTACTGTGTGAAATGTTACGAGAGCCTGTACTCCAACACTTGTGAAGAGTGCAAGAAACCCATCGGTTGCAACACCAGGGTAAGTGCCTGAATTGAAAAAGAAACACTACAGACATGTGCAAGATGAGACTGTGTCAGCTTGGCAACAACTATCTGACATTCCTTGCAGGATCTGTCCTACAAGGACCGTCACTGGCACGAGGACTGCTTCAAGTGCTTCCAGTGCAAGCGCTCCCTGGTGGACAAGCCATTCTCCACCAAGGATGAGCAGCTTCTTTGCACCGAGTGCTACTCCAATGAGTATTCCTCCAAGTGCCATGAGTGCAAGAAAACCATCATGCCAGGTAAAAAGGAAAGCAAATACACCATGCAAAGATTTTTAGATTTTCCTTTGAAGAGTGACCAAAGGCAGACAAGTTGGGGGGACGCTTCCTGAAGGGCGGGTGGGCTGGTGTGAACAGCGGCATTTCTAGCATATCTTCTGCCATAGGTGAGCTCTTATTTCTGCAAGTTGAGTACTGCTTGGACTGCCCAAAACGGCTCCATGCAACACCTCTTTCTATTAAAATTATACAACTGCAAACAACTTAAGGAATAGCCAAGGTTCTGCCTTCCTCCAGTGTAGCTGAAATACTCTTATTTGGCCACCTACAGCAGAAAGCCAAACATTTTAAACCATAAATGAAGGAAATTAACTTTGTGGTGCATAGAGGTACAAGATGAACTCCAACTGCTTAGTGCCAATTTAACTCTGGTTAAATTTAATTACACCATTCACAATGCAACCAGTCTTATCCAAAATGAACCGACTACCCAATTACTCTATTAGGATTCAAAGCTGCCTATTCCTATAATTCTCTCTCAGCACTGCTTCTTTTTCCATCTCTTTGACTTCCTGTTGCCTCTTCCATCTCAATTTCCTGAAGGCTCCAGGAAGATGGAGCACAAGGGCAACAGCTGGCATGAGACCTGCTTCACCTGCAAGCGATGCCAGCAGCCAATCGGCACCAAGAGTTTCATCCCGAAGGAGAACCAGAACTTCTGTGTGCCCTGCTACGAGAAGCAGTTTGCCATGCAGTGTGTGCACTGTAAGAAGGTAGGACTTCAAGCACCTCTATGTGTATTTATGAAACACGAAAGGGCAATAAGATGACGCTCATTCTGATTAGCCCATCACTACCGGTGGGGTGACCTACCGTGACCAGCCCTGGCATAAGGACTGCTTCCTCTGCACCAGCTGCAAGCAGCAGCTGTCCGGCCAGAGGTTCACCTCCAGAGATGACTTTGCCTACTGTCTGAACTGCTTCTGCAACCTTTATGCCAAGAAGTGTGCCTCCTGCATCACCCCGATTAGTGGTAATCAAACAATCCTCGCGCTAACTGGATCCAAAACCGCTTTTCTCAAGTTTCCTGATGGTAGACTTGATGTTTTTTCCTTCAGGTCTCGGAGGAAGCAAATACATCTCCTTCGAGGAGCGCCAGTGGCACAACGACTGCTTCAACTGCAAGAAGTGCTCCGTGTCCCTGGTTGGCCGTGGCTTCCTGACCGAACGGGATGATATCCTGTGCCCAGAGTGTGGCAAAGACATCTAACTCAGCCTGAGGCATAACAATACAACTAACAAATGGCAGATATTGAATAAGTAATATTAGACAATAAAGTATAGCATCTTTAGCGTAACTATGATTGTACATTGTTTTTAGCTCCGGATTGCACACTAATTGTGTTCTTTGACTTCATGAAGCTTATTCAAAGTTACCTGTAAGTTCCTTCAAGATGAAAATGTATTTACTAATAAAGTAGCTGTAGGCATGAATGTAAAGGGTTGCATACTAAATAAAGCAACAGCATTAATTTAAACTTTCAGCCATGAAGTGTAGCGTGATCAGCATTTTGTGAGCAGTCAAACCCGATGGAGGTGTATCAACGTTTTCCTATCGACATCTTTGAGAATGCCAAGTTTTCTCAAATGCAGAATTTCAGCTACGCTCCCCCTTATATTTTCTCGGCAGAATGAAAGACAGATGTTTAAGTCAAAAATAAAATAAAAAAATAAAATAAACAAAATGAATAAAATGAAAACTGAATTGTAAATTTGTTTCACCTTGAAATTTTTCAGATTTTGTCATAGTTCATCCACAAATGCATATTACTGGGATTTTATGTGGAAATGCTTTGAGAAAATTAGGTTACAAACCTGTATCCCAAGCTCAAAACATTTCAGAGCCAATGTTTAAACCACCACTTCCTAATCATAATAAAATGAAAGAGTATGGCTTCTTGTCTACAATGATAGCTCAAGTAAACAGTCAAGAGGCTCAAAGCAGCTCTGGAGGAGCTGCAGAGATCCACGGCTCAGCTGGGAGAATCTGTCAAGATATATTATTAGTCAAGCGCTCAACAAATCTGGCCTTCATGGAAGAGTAACAAGGAGAAATCCAACAGAAATCACGTTTAAATTAAGCAGCAAATCATGCAGCTGATTCAGCAAACATTTGGAAGATGGGAGGGGGGAAAAAACAACAACTTTTTGGCCTACAATGGAGTGATTTAGATCAAAGCATATTAATGTGTTAAAATGACCAAGTGAAAGTCCAAACCTAAATCAATTTGAAAATCTGTGGCAACATTTGAAAGTGTAAGTTGCAAGACGGATGTGTAAACCTGGCAGAGACGCACTGCAAAAGACTTGAAGCAACGATTCAGGCAAGAAATACTATTCGCATTGTGCTACAACCCTAATAAGGCCATATTGAACAAAATACATGTTTGCTCACTACTAAAAAGCATTAAAAAGATGAGGTAAAAAAAAACTCTCTGGAGGAGCTTTAGATAAAACGTAAGTAGTCTATTAGTCCTTGAAAGCATTTATTGATTATCAAGTAGTTTCCTAGGACTGATAAAAAGTTGATATGATGAGAACATCCAAGCTACCGGTAATTAGCAATTAATTTTTGTAGCCTTTTATAATGTGCAAACAAAATGACTTAGAAAGAAATTAAAGGGCTTTGACAATAATATTTGATTTCATAATATAACAGTACGTCATGTACTGTAAATTTTACAATAAATGTTAATGAAATAATTGAGACAAAACCAACAAACTTTCCTCCAAGACTTAAGGCAACAAAGAGGTGTGTTGAGAATTTATTTTAAAAAACTGTTTCTACAAATGCTGAAAACATTTTTTTTTCCTGTGTGTTTGTAATGAACTTTGTCTACATCAAAGACATCAGCTGCAAAGGGAAATTATCCTAACCAGTAAATACAGCATTACAGGGATCTGAGCTCGGGTCGGTTCACGTTCGATATACAAAAGTAGTCATAGTTTTCCTAAACCTTCCGCTCGATGCCTCTTTAAACCTTGAGCATGATCAGTTACAGATTTTAGAAATATTACTAAATAAAATCTTGACCTTACTGGAATTACAGCAAAAACTGAAAAGCATCCATTGGTTACCAAATGACACCGATTCAACTTCTATACAATGTGGTGATTAGGGAAACAAGTCTGTCTCACTGGTGCATCAATATGTCTATCCGTATCAAAGTGTAGGATTCTTCTGTAGTTCTTATGAACCAGGAAAATCACATTTTCATCAAATACTGTACATGAAAGCATCAACAGTCATTGTTATTAAATAAAAAATAAAAAAAAATAAAAAAACAAGATGGGAGATGCTGGCTATGAGGACAAAAAGGGCACTTGAGGCTGCAAAAAGCAACCAGGAAGATCCTGACTTCGACATGCAGGGTTGATCTCCTGAGTGTCTCTGTCCACCATAAATAAGAATATTAAAGGGGTCCTTGTGTACGTCTAAAACAAGAAAACGCTCCTTACGTCTTTTAGTTGGAAAACTGTAATGGTGAGAGGTTAGGCTGTGAGAGGTAAAAGAGATGATGGGGAGAGATTTACGGATGAGTCTGAGCTGCCATGCTGGGTCAGGTGTCATGGCCACGTTATGTGTTGGATCTTTTTCTTCACCTCTGCAGATTTTAGAGCACCCTGAAAAAACAAGAGAAAATGAATCATAACACTTAGTAGTTGTTATAGTCTTTTAAAAGCAATATTTGTTCCATTTTCTTTTCGGGAAAACTCCTCGAGCTGTTACAGTACAATATCATGAACTGATTTGAAGGATTTCCAGTCGATCAGAGTAACTTCCTACCGAGTCGCCTGCGTCCCGTTTGAGGTTTTCGGTTTCAGAGCTGCGATGTGTGGACGAGGAAGACGACGATGAAGTGCCTGAGAGTTTACGGATGGGGTTAGGAAGGTTTGCAGCAGGAGGAGGTTTCAGTCTGTCTGTGACTCCGGCGGAGCCTTTCGTGCCCTCGGGTTTCTTCACTTTCAGCGGGCCCGACTGAGAGGACTTCCCGTCAAACACAATGAGAGGTCTCTTCCTGTGTTGGTCGTTACAGGAGCTAGAAACACGACAAAAATATCCAACAGATGTTCAGATGCTCAGTCAAAGATAGACACATCTGCAAAGGAATGAGTAAATTCCTAGAAGGTCAGAGCTGTTTTAATTTTTAATTTTAAATTGTTTTACTATTTCTTACATTTATGGTGGATAATTTCTTGTGATCAACCTCAGTTCCCAGTAGGGATTTTCCAACTCTGCAAATGTATATCTACTACAGTTAATCCAGTCTGACACAAGTGACACATCTGATACTAAAATATAATTTGATTTTGTTAAATTATGATGTCTCAAAACCATGTTTCCAGGGGTGCTATGGTGGTGCAGGGCTAAATAGCGACCCGTGTATGGAGGCCTTGATGCAGCCATAGGTTCGAGTCCTGGCCTGATGCCCTTTCATGCATGTCTTTCCCTTCTCTCGTTACCCACTTTCATGTCTGACCACTCTCAAATAAAGGCCACTAAAAACTAAGAAAACCATTAAAAAAAACCCAAAAAACAAAACATGCTTCCAAGAACTACACCAGATGAGAAGATGATAGAAAAGAAATAAATTATCAGCTGCAAAGCTGAGTAAGAATCATCCATAAGATGTGAATTTATTGATGAACGGCTGGTATAAGGACTGTGCCTGAAAACAAATGCAAAGAATAAACAGCCTTACTAAATACAATAAATCTTGAGGGAAACATGTGGCCTCTCAAAATGTTTCAGAAGATCAACAATAAATCAATATTTAAAAGAGACAAGTTGACCTGGAAGGCATTTGAAAGATACTGTCAGCAATAGCTTGGCAGGAGACTTAGTATGATGTAGAACAGATTGTTGTCAAAAACAATCATGTATTGTACTCTCTTTATGTAGATTTTACTTCATAAGGTTACATCTTTATGTAACAATAATAATATAAAAATAAAGAATGATTTGGAAAATGCTCATCTAAAATCCTTAAGATGCATGTGTTTTTTGATATCATAGAGGCTTACAAAGAAATTTAAAAAATGCAACTTCTTAATACTTAGCTTTGTCTAAAATCGATATTTTATTTATTTTTTTCCACTTTATGTGTTTTTTATTTTATTTTATTTTGTGGTGATAAATGACACGTGGGACAATGTGAAAGAGTTCCTTGGGATAAATATAGAAAAAGTAGCCTAACCGACAGCAAGAAATGTATCCTTCAGATAAAATCCATCAATGTTCTGCTGCCTGAAGAGTGAACCTTGACCTTTCTGACCTGTGCCCAGCGGCTGTCTGTCTCCCCCGGCTCTTCTGCATCGTCCGTCCCCAGCGGTTGTCGGGTAAAGTCCTCTGCGGCAGCGGGATGACATGCCGCAGGTAGAGCGCTGTGAGCCGGTCCCTGTCTTCACAGGCTCTGGTACTGACATTTCTCTGGTTCAGAACAAAGAAAACCTCTGAATCCAACATGAAATTCACACAACACGCAGTAGAGCGAAAAACAGCTCTACTGTTTAGCTGACAAGCTAAAATGTCAACATTCTTCGTTTTTTCCACAATTAAATGATTACTTCCGCAACCCTCTTCAACATTTAACTCACCTCCTTTAAAATTAGCTGTATAAAATCTTGAGATAGGAGCTCAGGGTGAAGTAAGAGGTCCGCATCTGAGGTCGAAACACTCTGTTTATTTTGTCCTGTGGCAGCAGCCATTGTTGCTACTCTTCTTCTTTGAGGAATTATCGACGATAGCTTCTCTTTTGCAATCCTGCACTGCCGCCTGCTGGACACAACAGGCTCTTTCTGCTGTGTCTTTCAGAAGGCTGTTTTCTTTCTTAGTTTCTTGGTAAATTATGGCATTTCATGATAAACGAAACTCTCGAATAGGAAAGGATCATTCAAGAAAGGCACTAGCTCCCTGCAGGTCAAGCAGCCACAGAGGATGGATGAGCAGATAGATAGATATACGGAGGCCTAGAGTATATATTTTTTCCTATTTCAGGAAAAACACACACACTTAGTGGAACTTCATACAAAAGAAATCTTTAATAACCTAGCTTTGCCTTTCAAAAAATTAGAAATTAAACTCAACAAACATTTACAACTGACAAAACAACAGTTTGATGTTACAAAATTCTGCACTTCTTGGTTTTGGTTAGTTTTTTTTTTTTTTAATAGCTTACTGAACATTTATACTGTCTGATTTGTCTGTAACCCCCTCACTTTTACACATCTGACAACAAAAGTCTTTTTTTCCCACAATGATTTGTTTCAGGACAACAGGTTACAGCGTGCATCAGACAGGTCAAACCAGTAGCTCACAAGGGAAGATGTAAAACAGGTGGAACTTCTGTAATAATCTGCAAACTAAACATCTATTTACTTATGGAAACAAACAGTAGACAATATACTGCACATGATGTTTGCAGGACATATGATGTTTTTCTTGTATTTCATTTTTTACCTTTTTGTGCACGGAAAGGACACACTGGCTCAGTGCCATATAAGACTGCTCACACCAATGTTACAACCCCGAAGTTGTACATGTTTTATTGAGATTTAATGTGTTAGGCCAACACAAAGTAGCACATAATTGTGTAATGGAAGGAAAATGATACATAGTTTTAAAGATAAAATGAAAAGTGAATAAATGAGGCGAGATAGGCTATACAAAAATACCCAAAGCTTTCAGGATCTCATTGAGAACTCCATAATCCAGGGGTGCCCAAAGTCGGTCCTCGAGGGCCGGCATCCTGCATGTTTTAGTTCTCTCCCTGGTGGTAGCAACAACCTTTTCAGCATGTCAGTGTTTTCATTAGGCCTCTAATGAGCCATTATTTGATCCAGGTGCGTTAAGCCATGGAGAGAACTAAAACATGCAGGATGCCGGCCCTCGAGGACCAACTTTGGACACCCCTACCATAATCCATCATCTTAAAAGCAAATGGAGTGTAGTACAACCTCGATCTCATCAAGACATAAGAAGGTATTTTACATTCTATACACTTTCACCCCATTGTAAAACATGGTAGTGGCAGCATTCTGTTGTGGAAAGGTGTTTTTTTTTTCAGCAGGGAGATGGAGTTAAATAAAAGACCATCCTGGAAGAAAACCAGATAGAGGCTGTAATGACTCAAGGTGAAGCTTTTCCTTCCAGCAGGACAGCAACCCTAAACACACAGACAGAGCTACAACAGAATGGTTTAGATCAGAGGTGCCCTATTCCACCCCTCTAGATCTCCCGTCCTGCAGCTTTTAGATGCATCCATGTTTTCACACACCTGAATCACATTAATGACCCTCTACCAGGTCTCTGCAGAGCTAAAAGATGAATATGAGTCATTTTATTCAGGTGTTAGAAATGGGGCAGATTGGATTAGAGTAACCCTGGTTTAGGGAAAAAATAAAATAAAATAATATCTTAGAATGGCCCAGTCAAAGTGCAGATTTATCTCAACTTGAAAATATGTATCGAGACTTAAGAATAAATGTTTGCATACCTTCTCCAGGTATGAGACTTTGCTTAAAGTTAGCTTACATAAAATGATGGGGAACAAACGTCGTCCTCCGATGTATGTGCTACTTTGTGTTGGAGTATGCACATGAAGTTTTTATGGTTGCAAACAAAACAAATGTGAAAAAGTTCAAGAGATTATGTTTAGATGGAGCGTTCATTATTGAAGCAATGCTTGGTGGTATATTGCTTTAAACCATACTTCCTGTTTTGGGGGAGCATTTAAAACATGAAAACATTTAGCGGGAGGGTCAGTCGCTGCTTCACACCGCAGACTGAGTCTCGCTGCACACATAAATGTTGCTGGGCCTCACTCTCCTGTGGCTCCTGCCTGGCATTCGGGGACACAGCCTGCAGCTTTTGGGGATGAACTCCTGACAGGCCTCCCTGAACTTGCGGATCCTCCAGCAGTAGATGACGGGGTTGAACACCGTCTTCAGGTAGCTGAGCCACAGCGCGCCGATGCTCACCGGGTAGAAGATGGGGCTGTAGTAGAACTGCCGGCTGAACACGGCCAGCAGGCTGACCACGGTGTGGGGCAGCCAGCACACGGAGAAACCCACGAAGAGGATGAGGATGGTGGTGAAGGCTCGGGTCTTGAAGCTCATGTCCACCTTGATGTGAGGCGGCCGCTGCAGCCCGGTGAGCCTCATCTTGCTGACCTGGTTGAGGGCGGGCAGACAGGAGCGCTCGCTGGTGTGGTTGTGGATGCGCAGGGTGTTGCGGCGCACCGTGTTCAGGATGCACATGTACGAGTACAGCATGACAGCAAATGGTACAAAGAACACGGCCACAGCCAGGAGCACCGTGTACCCCCGGTCTGCCATCGACTCGCTGTACCCCAGCACGCACTGCGGCGCCCAGGTGCCCCCGATCCCCGCTGCACCTGTCCTCCACCCGACCACGGACGGCAGCGACACGCACAGGCTCAGCACCCAGGAGCCTGCTATCAGCACTTTGGCCCTGTGTGGGGTCAGCTTGTCCTGCCGTTGCACGATGATGAGAAACCGGTCCACGCTGATGATGAGGAGGATGGACACCCCTTCCAGAACGAACAGCCAGTACAGCATGATGGAGGCCCGGCAGAAGCCGCTCCCGAAGCTCCAGTCGGCGGTAGCCACGGTGACAGCGGTGAAGGGCATGCAGAGCAGCGAGAGCATTATGTCAGAGAAGGCCAATGTGGCCAGCAGGAGATTGATAGCTGAGCGCATGGCGGGCTTCTGGTAGACGATCAGACAAACAATTGCATTGCCGAGGAAGCCGATGGTTATCATGAAGATCATAATGGCCGCCAGTGTCACCCGGAGAGTGACCGATATGAGAGGAGGCGACGCTTCCGGCGGGAGAGTTTCTGCTGGTTCCTCCATATCTGGCTCCAAGAGGTCACAGTCGTCCAGCAGGCTTTCGTTGCAAAAAGCCATAGCAGCTTTCATCAGGCACGATCAACGCAGGGAAAGAAGAACATAGCTGGCTGGAGGTTGTCACTCTGAACAGTTTACCAAGTGAGGTTCCTGGCAAAACCTGGAGCGGGAAGACAAGAATAAAAACAATTTGTGATTTTATAAAGCGAGTGCAGTGTTTTTCTCAAGTACGTTAGTATTTTTAGATTTGATCTCATACAACTGCAGACTTTTGAGGAAAGAAAAGAGATGAAAGCAGTTTTGCAAATAAAAAGTTTAAAAATTTTATTCATCCCCTTATTCTGTGGTACCCGTGAATAAAATCCAGCTCAACTATCTGCCATCAGAGATAAGCTAATTAGTAAATGGAATAGCTCCATCAGTGTCCTTATACAACTACTAGCTTCTTTTTATCTTCTAAATTAAAGAATCCACTCAGCATGATGCTGCTACCGCTATGTTTCACTGATGCACCACAGACAGCATTTTGCATGTTCTTGATCTTGTCGATGTTAGCTGTGACCTCTAAATGGCTTAGGGTGAACAACAAACGAGACTACTTATGGCTTTCTCTTTTTAAGAAAGGATTTTATCCGTCCACATTTCCATGTGGAGCAACAGTTCTTCATTGTTTTTCAGCCCTTCCCACCTGAGCTGTGGATCTCTGTTGCTCCTCCAGAATTACAATCGATCTACTGGCTGCTTCTCTGATCACTGCTCTCTTGATCTTTTTTAGTTTAGGTTTAGCGGCTATCTCTAACTCGGTTTGCATTTGTGCCGGACGTTTAACAATCTGTGCAAAGAACCGAAGATCAAAGTTGAAAGGATCCTGAGAAGCTTCCTGATCTGAGGACAGTTTGTGGAAGAATGGATCAAAAATAATTTCTTGTGATGCTTGTGACTAGTTTCTCCATAAAGATGTCTTGAGGTTTTTGTTACCAATAAAAGGCTTTCATGTGTTCAATTACTCCATATGTCCTTTTTTTTTTTTTTTTTTTTTTTTTTTTACATGTACATTCATTTGAGGGCAAATTTTGTATATGTGGATCACTTGTGTCGCCACCAACATCTGGTGTGAATTTCATGTCAGTGGAAACGCTACAAAAATATTCACTGAGGAAAGCATTGACGATTCAACACTGCTGTTACCCGCTGCTTACAGGCCTGCAAAACGGGAGAGAAATGTGTCGCCGAGCTTAGTCCGCAGAAGTTGATGATTAACTGCCAAGCGGTCATCATCAGAGTTTCACACGAGTAGGAATACACACATTTACAGCCCACCCACGGCATAGTCAGCTGTCATCCTAATCCACTCTCCCCTCTACGTTGCCTTATTGGATAATGATGATGCAGCTTTATTAAGTCGGAGGCATGTGAGTCACTCCTGAGTGCGTGGTGACTCTCAGCATGATAAGACGTTTATTACACTTTAACTGTCATGGTAGTCAGGGCTCTGTTCTGTTTTAGCCTTTATATGAAAAGGAAACCATATTTTCTTTATTGGCAACACAAAACACTTGAAGATGGCTTAAATTTTTTGGCAAAACTAAAGGTGACTAAGTTATAGTTAACACCCTATCTCATCATGTTAACTATAACTTAAAATGATTTCAAAAATGACTTATTAGGCTTACGTTAATTTTTGTTGTTGCTGTTGTTCTATTTTAGATTGAAATACCAGGAAGTAATGAAAATATATTATTTTATATTGGTGGGCATTGTCAAAATAATTTACAAAGTTCAAGTGGGGGCAATGTGGATACTTATATACATAATAGAAGCTAACATTATATGAATTCTTAATTGCATTGTCATCCAGCTACATTTTAGATTTCAATGCAAAATAGTTTAAATGTTTCCAGACATGAAACCTTTGAAAATATGGATATAAGCTAACCAGGACTGTGAGTAGATTCCCTAATGTATGGCACCTCTGGTAAAGATATAAAACCTTTAAAACTCTCTCTACACTTAACTAAAGTATAAGTTTATTTTTGTTTTCAAAATGGTCAATGTGAGATAAAGCTACTGGGGTAGCAAATTCATTTATTTCAAGTATTTTAAACATAAAACATCAAAATTTAGCAGATCAACACTAATATACTCCATTTGATCTAAGTTACATTTTTCTATATTTTTTTTAATTTCAGTGTATTTGTAATGTCTTGTATAGATGTAGATTAAAATCAGAATCTAACAAATCAATCAGAATCCCATCATTTCAAAAAAAAAGAAAGAAAATAAAAAAGTAATAAAAAGAAAATCGTCTTTGTAGATCAGGAATCCTCCTTTCAAGTCACTGCATAGTGATGCTGGTTGTTGCCATGGAAACAAGATCAGCAGTTCCATGGCAACAAGCAGCCCTCACTTTCATCCGCTGTGCACAACTGTCAATAAGAAACACGCATGATCAGCCAGTCTGCGCAGACAGAAGACGTATGAATAAAAGCCAAATAAACAGCAACATCTCATCTGCTGTAGGGTCACAGGCTTCAGGTGTGGTCAGACCGGCAGCAGCCCTGCTGCGACAACAGCTGGGTAACCTGAGACAGAGCCGCGAATGTCTTCATTTTCATACAGATTTTAAGTCTTTTTTTTTATTTATTTATTTTTTGCCCCCACCGGATGCTCCCAACATTTTCCCCCTGTTGAAGTGTTTTGACTCAGCTCCGTCACTCGGGCTGTACAGCGTGTTCTCAGCTTGACAAATATGGATTTCTCCCGCAGATGATTTACTTCGCTGCTGTCCGCATCCATCGCTTTTCTACGGAAACCGAAGGAGTCACGGCGGAGAAAATGCCCTCTTAAGAGAGAATCAACCACAATCTCTTTAAACGCTCCCCAGAATGACTTACCCGATACAAGAGGTTTGAAGGCAAAACGGAGTCGTTCCCGAGCCTTTTATCCGGCGCATGCCAGCGTTGTTATGAGAAGATGTCACATTGCAACATTTCACCGCCGGATCGATCGTGCAGCCATCGTGCCGCCCGTGGGCGCTGCTGACGCCAGAGGAGCAGGTGGTCTCCGCGTTAAAGGAGCAGTCAGGCAGGAAACATGATCTTCCTCACGATGTTCCTCCTTATGGCCAACTTCGCCAGGCTGCATCTATTGCTCCCGACAAGTGTGTTCAATAAAGTTAAAATAATGACTTTGTCATCATGTTTATTATTTTTTAACGTAATCAAGTTTAAGACAGGTTGAATCTGAACGGAAAGTCCTGCCACAGAACTGAAGTCTGGGCTTTGACTGGACCATATGGTTCTCAAACTGTGGAAAGTACTTCAGAGAGTTTTTGTATTAATTCCAGTGCGGCAGGTGATATGTGCTGGGAGACATCTGTTTACTGCAAGCTAAATTTTGCCATAATCCAGTTGTATTTGCTTATTGATATCCTCACTGACCAGGCTGCACTTAGCCAGCTGAACTGTACAAAACAATAAAGTATTTCTATCCATTTGTACTTTTCAAATAAAGATGTTTATTGCTTGGAGACCTTAATCGTTGCTTCATTGGTACTTGTATAAAAAATAGAGCTAAAATATGGAGTCGAAATATTCCGCTAAAGCTCTGACTTTATGTAAGGGTTGTTATCCTGCTGCAGTGAACCTCCAGCTCAGACTCAAACACTTTGCAGCTTCTAACAGGTTTTGTTTTTTTTATCATATTTTTCCTTTTTCACTTCCATCCATCCTTCCAACAATTTTGAACAGATTGCCTGTCCTTCCTGAAAAAAGACAACCCACATCAAGATGCTGCCATCCCTGTGTTTCACAGACAATGGTGCATTCAGGGTGATGGGCAATGTGTGTGTTTTCCTCCACGAAAAATATTATGCATCAAAGCCAAAACTTTCAGCTGTATCTCGTCTAACCAGAGCCTCTTTGTCTGCATATTTGCTGTGTCCTCTTTGGATTTTCTTTTGTCAACAGTTCTCTTTTTCATTAAAGCTTAGATTAGACAGCCACACAACTGGCAAGCAGAGCCACAGTGATCGTCCTATGGGCAAATGTGGAGGAAAAGTTAAATTGTTTATAGACAGGCATGTAGCTAGAATGTTAGAATAATTGTGTTATTTTTTCTAATGTCCATTAAATTTATTAAATTAAAAAAACCCAGCATTTTTAAAAAGTCCTTCTGGTGATTGTTCAGTTCTGAATGAATCACATATTCATTACGTAACTCGTTAACATGACTCATCCAGATTAGCTTCATAACTGAGAAACAAATCCAGTTTTATTTTTTCCAAAGGTAATTTATTTGTGTTTGTTCACTTAAATTGGGAAATTGTTTTTCTTGTTCCAAATTAATTTTATTATCGCCCTTGGTGGTGTCAGAGTATTGTTTTGCTTTATTTATTTTTGTTGAAGGTAAATGGATGGGTTTGTTTTTGTTTTTTTCCCTTTTTTTTTTTTTTTACCCATAACCATGAAGAAAGCTCACATGCGTTGCTAAATATGTCCAGAAGGTGGCAGTATTGCCCTAATGCTAACTTCCTTTTGGTCAAGCTACTCTGCATTGTACTGTATGTTCAGGTACTGATTGAATTACTGTATGCTTTTACCTTATATATATTTAATATCTGTCTATATTAATAAAAAAAAATAAACATCCTGTTTTCCTTCATATCTTATTGATTTTAATCAGATGCCAAAAGAGAGCAAAACCTCCCCCTCATACACAGGTTTTCCACAAATATTTTAGTTTTTGCAATAGAAATCTGGTGCGCTCATACAGAAACAGCTACGTTTAGTCACTTAGCATGCAGGCCGATATTCTTTCAAATGGCATGCTTGTCTAAATTGGCATCGTGCCCATGTGCTGAACATGCCCATCAAACGAGTTCCACTCCAGCGGTCTGGCACATGCATGCTTGTCACGTTCAGTGGCAGCCACACAACAAAGCTCGCTGGAAAGACAATTCATTTCCCCGTCCGTCGTTCCACAGATGTTTGCTTTAATTCCTTCCTGATTGGGAGACTTTGGTAGCTGCTCCATCAATCAACGAAGAAAAAGCAAACACAAGCAAAGTGAAAAATCTCTTTTGATCAGAACCTTCAGACGGGAGAGGACACTGACTTGTGTTCAGGGTTCTTCTTTTTTTTTTAAAAAAAAAAAAAGAGGGAAAAGTCAGACTCCTTAAAATGCACTCGCACGCACCGAATAGGGGCACTTTTTAGGATCTTCTGATTCCAGGAAATCATTACTCACCTCATGAGTTTCTGCTCTTTTCTGCAGAGCCTGCAGTGTGTTAATCAGTGCTAGACGTGGTGGTTAACATATCTCCCTGTTGTAAAAAATAATTAACACAGAGCAGTGGGGACTGATAATGTTCAAACTGGATTGAAACAGTTGTAAGATTGGGGCTTTGCCGCTGTTAAATGATTACTTTGATGCAGGCGCAGGTGTTAGTCAGCTGCATGTGTGGCTGTGCTGCAAACTGTGAGACACAAACAACAACTATTAAAGAGGGGGATTAATCTCGCAGTAATTGCTTCATGTAAAGCACCTCTGAACAAGGCTTTAAGAGCAATTATGAGCAATCACATTAGTAGTTACAACTGCAAGGAGGTAATAACATCCTCGGTGTGGAACTGCAATCACCACATGGCTCAGAGACGCAGGAAACAATAATCTATTGATGAATGATGTCACTTTTGAGCTGAGCACACACACACAGACAAACTCTGATTCCTCATATGAACGTTGCGTTTTTTCTTTATATATATACGTACGAGCTGAGCCTGTTCTGTTGATTGAGGAGTTTGCATGTTCTGTAGCATCATCAGCTCGTCCTCTTCAAATCCCAGCATTGATATTCACTGAGCGACGTGTGATGACAAACCCTTTAAACATCTTTTTATCCCCCAATTCCAGACTTATCTCCCATCTTTGCATCGTCAGGCTTTGAGGGGATCACAACACAATCCTGCAAGCGTATATTATACCTCCATTTTCTTCTTGCTGCTAAGAGGGAAGATGTTGTGTTAAAAGGCAAAGGATAGATGTTGACCATTAGCACTGTGGCCGAGGATGCTGCTAAAATGTGCAGACTATCTTTTTTACTGTAAAGGGACAGAAAATGTCAAGTTGCGTAAAGTTGCATCAGAGTTTTAGTTTAAGTTTGACTGCTAATGTCTCATGAAGAACATATAGTTGCAATAATGGATTTAATAAGTATGTTGGCAAAATAACTCATTTAACAATCAACCATAAAAGAAGAAGAAAAATAAATGTTTTATCAAATGTAACAGAAAAGAAAATGTACAAGAGAATTGTCAGAAATGCAAAACAAAGAGGTCATCCATCCACTGTGTATGCCCGTTTATCCTTGCAGGGTCACAAGAGGTCATGGTACAAGAGGCAGGGTACACCCTGGACAGGTCACCAAAAACAAAAAATATTAAAAGATGTTGTAGCAAAATGTGGACAAAATCAAAAGAAACAGTAACAAAAGTTGCCAAAAATACTAAGCAAAATGTTGGCTGAAGGCAGCAAAAGCAAACAAAGTGATTCAATTAGCAAATGCAAGACAACTAAAACCTAAAACGTCAAAAGTTTTTTTCTGCAAATTGTGAAAAACAAAACTATTCTCTCTTCCTGAAACAGAAATACAGCAGAAGCAAAGAAGATAGAAACTCAGGCTTAATAAAACAAAAACAAACAAAAAAAGCAGAATATGTGAATCATAACTCATATGCAATCAGTGTGTTATAAAACAAAACTTTTTTAACTCAGTACAGAAAAACAAAAATATGGAAGCTGGTTGGTAATAAAAAAAAACAAATCAGCAAAAAGTAAAAAAACACAGAAAATTAAGAAAGGTACTTAGCAACACAAAACGACAAATTCAAGTAAACAAAAAACAAAAAAAACTAACAATGTATCTTTATTTGAAAACAAAACATTTTCAAATAATTTAAAGCATCTATTTTAAACAAATCAAAAACTGTACTAGAAAAAAGTTCAAACAGTCTAAAAGAAATGACAGTAAAATTAAGAAAATAAAGTTAGCAAAAAAATATATATATACAATAGAGGAAACTCATCTGGAAAAAGACAAAACTTTAGATGATGTCACCAAAAATCACATAAATACAGTAACAACAGTGCAATTAAGTCTGCAAAAACAAAATTAACACAAAGTGAAACTCCCATCAAAAACTAAATTTCTGTTAAATTAAATTATATATTGTTGTGTTTGTGTCTTTAATGTTTGTTTTTTTTTTGGGGGGGGTGCAATATTTCTGAAACCTTCCCTGAAAAAGTCACGTTTTCTGAAAAATTGTCAGTGAAAATGTTTTATACTTTCTGTTCTCAAATAGTTTAAATGTTGCTGCTGTATTTTTTTGAAAAAAAAAAAAAAAAAACCTTCTGAAGCTTTTGTTCCACTTTGATTTTCTCTCTGTTTTCATAGTGTAGCGCTGTTGGTTTTTCTTGTTGCAGTTTGTCCAAAGTCTGTCCAGACTTTTCCTGAAACGCTGCCAGCTGCCCGGCGAGGACACACAAATGAACACCTTGTACAGTTACTGCCGTCTGCTTGGGTGTTTTGACAAATCTACGCGACAAGCAACACCAGCGGTAAAAGATATATGTATAGAAACTGATTTCATTATGTAGCGTATAGAGTGACAGCTCCCGAAGAGAAAAACAAATCAAAATCGAAATCACGTGTATAAGGAAGTGTTTTGTTTGCATGCCAGCGCAGACAGTGATTAAAAGTGATGCATTAACTTCCTGGTTTGTTGTTTACCTCCCAGCAGCTACAGTAGCTGCAAACCTTTGACCTCTCGCAAAGGGGTCAGATAACCTCTGTGACTTTTTCTACAGCTTGTCCCCCTTACCTTCAGATGTCCCCAGATGTCCAACATCACCTCATGGATTATTGTGATATTTAGAGACAAGGAGATGAAATTATAGGCTGTTTGTCAGCCCTCACTCACTCGGCTCCCCATCTCCCCAAACCCATCATCCGTGGCAAAAGATCCGCTTGCTGCCTCGTGTCACTCCATCTCGCCGTCACCTTGGCAACTGCTGCCGAGGTGAACCGCCATCTGGGATAGCCGACCTCATCCGCTGGCTGATTTCCACAGAGCTGCAGTCCACAGCGCTGCCACGCCGGCTGGTCTGATGTGCGGTTTATCACCCCACGAACGGGCTCATTAACTGATCCGTGATCGGTTCAGCCACTCTTGATGGGGTCAGAGGGGCTCTAACAGAAACATGAGGCAAATTATTCAGATTTGTGCTCAGTGTGAGAGCAAACCCATTTGTTTTAACAAATTTGGGGTGCTGATCTTCCTTAGATCCTCTGTTTCCTACGTCAGCCTTCCTCCGTAAACGAGGAGTCCTAAAAAAGGCCCTTCGTTGCCTCTTTTTCTAACCCACAAAACCAGCAGATGATTTTAAATAAAATGACTTTATGTTGATTTTCCTGCACCTACGTGAAAATATCTGTAGGTTACCCCACAATATCAAAACGTATAAACCAATAAAGGCTTTTTTAGGCCTTAAAACGGCCACAAAAATCACAGATCACATCTTAGTTGATCAAAACCAAAGCCAAGATGACGCTGATGAGATGTGAGCATGTGAACGTAAGAACAAAATGATTATCATCTCATGTATTAACATGGTTTTATGTCAAATTTATTAAATTATTGGTCTTCCATGAAAATAGACACATAGGGAAAAATAAATAGACTGAATCTTTACACAGGAACACACAGCAGACCTTACATACAGTTTTGGGAATTTGTGCTAAATTCTTACTGAATAAAAGGAGTGTTCATCTACACTTTTTTTTTCTTTTGCCATTTTCATGTCACAACTTAATTCCACTTTTGCACAACACAAAATATGAACGGGAGGTGATTAAATTATTATTGCTGGCTTACAAAAACTATTCATGGACAAAGTGAATGAAACACATGTCTTTCTTTCAGGTTTAACAGGATGGAGGTGGAATTCTGCAGAATCACAAAGAAAACTTGTATTTTGTACAATTTAGGAAAAAATGTCTTACTTTTTGTCTTCATATTTATCTAACTTTGTATTTAAAGTACTTTATTCTTGCTTTTGTGCAGATACTAGATCAGCGTTAATGTTTTTGTCCCAGAGACAGTATTACAGATAAATACCAAACAAACACAAAAGTAGACTTCTTCTCTTTTTTCTTTTTTTCTCGCTTCTGGAATTAACACATACAGAAAAACACTAAAACTGCGGATGGATTTATGATATATATATAAAAAATTCCTCAGAAATTCTGGTGAGTCAGGAAACATTTCCCCTCCGTCTTTGCTCTCAGTTTCTTGCCTGGACAGTTTGTCCTGGCTGTTTTCACGTGTCGCTGTACATCCTCTTGCACTCTATGGAAGGGGACGGCGTGTCCGGACCGATGCTCCCAACCTGAGAATACGCGTCCTCCGGGGTGCGCGGCAGTCCAGGCGGCGTCATGCGCTTCTCCTTCTGCCTGCGGTTGCAGAACCAGACCCGGACCACCTCCTTCTCCAGCTGCAGCGTGTCCGCCAGGGAGTTGATCTCCTGCGCGGACGGCTTGGGACACTTGAGGAAATGGCTCTCCAGCGCGCCTTTTACGCTCACCTCGATGGACGTGCGCTTCTTCCTCTTCCTCCCCTGCGTGGCGATCTTGTCGATGCTGGTCGGGCTCCCGGTCGTGGAGTCGGCCTCCTCCAGCCATTTGTTGAGCAGGGGCTTCAATTTGCACATGTTTTTGAAGCTCAGCTGGAGCGCCTCGAACCTGCAGATGGTGGTCTGGGAGAACACGTTGCCGTACAGCGTCCCCAAGGCTAAGCCCACGTCCGCCTGGGTGAAGCCCAGCTTGATCCGACGTTGCTTGAACTGTTTGGCGAAATGCTCCAAGTCGTCCGACGTCGGCGTGTCCTCGTCGGACTGCGGGTCGTGGCCCATTCCGTGGTGCTGGTGGTGGTGCGTGTGGTGGTTGTGGCTCTGGTGGTGATGGTGGTGGTGGTCCAGCTCAGGGGAGTCCCCGCGCAGCAGCCCCGAGTGAGCGAGGCTCTGCCCGGTGTGAGAGCTCAGCATCCCGTTGACTGTAAATCCTGACGGCTGGGAGTAAACCAGAGACTGTTGCTGCTGTTGCTGCTGCTGCTGCTGCTGCCCCTCGCTGATGCTGCTGATGTGCGCCGCGGAGCTTC